CTCATCGAGTCATATTGATTCCTATGGATTCATATTGATTACTATTGGGTCTCACTAATTCCGAGTGGTTCCGAGTGATTCCTATTGATTATTATCGATTCCTATTTGGTTCCTATTGATTAACATTGTTAGTTTCTAGTGATTAGTCTGTTCCTTTTGATTATTGTTGATTCCTACTGATTCCTATTGTTTCCTTGTGATTCTTATTTTTACCCCCACCGATTCCTATGCGTGCTGGTTGATTGCTTACAAGGAGAGGGAGCGATAGAGAGAGAGAGAGAGAAACAAAGAGAGGGAGAGAGAGAGAGAGAGAGAGAGAGAGAGAGAGAGAAAAAAAAATATCCTGGCGAAGGACCCAACCATATGCAGTTGCGAGTATCGCAATTGTGAGTATCTTCTTCGGTGGCGCTCCCTATGGGGCCACGAACCGCATGAGGGGTGTGCCGAAATGTGGCGGGGTACACAACGCAAAGGAATACGATAGATCTGATTACGAGAGAAAGAACGCGGGTGAGTCAGAGCGCGAGGGAATCTGAGTATGAATGGGTCTGCGCGCGAGTGAATATATTTGCATGAATGCGATCATGGAACCGCCTAGTGTAAGTGTCGAGCATGCCTGTCCGAACACACGTGACACTGGGCGTGGCCGCCGCAGGCAGCTTCCGCGGGAACCCCGACGGCAGCGTCCGCACGTCGCGACGCCCATGTCGGCACGCCTCTTGCGAGGATCGCGCCCGCTTTCGGCTCTTCTTTTCCTTCCTCTTTGCCCGCGCACTCCAAAATCCAAGGCTGCGGGCGCAGCGCAGCGCGGAGTCCCCGCGACGCGCGCTGGTCGCCCCGGGCGGGGTCCCAGCGACGCGCGCGGGTCGTCCGCTGCGCGAAGCAGAGAGAGCTGACTAGCTAACTGGCTGGCTGATAGCGGGCAAGTCTCTGACCGCTGGGCAGAGCGACGACGGGCGAACGAGGCGCCGGGCCCCCCGCAGCACGGAGTTCCCGCGACGCGCGCTGGTCGCCCCGAGAGGGTCCCAGCGACGCGCGCGGGTCGTCCGCGGCGCGAGGCCAAACAATTAGTCGGGCAGTCGAGAGAAGGCGCGGCTCGGGGGAGACGCTCCTCAGGTCAGGCCTCGCGGATGAACTCGGTGAAGCCGAGCTCCCTGGCGAGGGCCGTCGCTTCCCTCCTGCACCGCTTCGTGCGCGCCGCAAACTGCTCCAGCTGCTTCCGCAAGCCCTGCGGCGGCCCTGCCAGGAAGAACTCGATGCGCGGCGCCCGCATGAGCAGGAGGTCCTCGTGGCGCGTGGCGCGCGAGAGCAGCACGTAGAGCTCCAGCCACCAGTCGTCGTCCTCCTTCTTGCCGTTCCCTACCTCGTGGCGGCCGCAATCCAGGATCACGCCTGGGCGACGTCGACCGAGGGAGCAGCGCGCCGGGCAGCCGACGGCCCAGGGCGAGAGTCCACAGGACCGAGAGATGGTCTGGCCGCGGACTGCTCGCGCCCCGGAGGTCTGGCCGCCCCCGGAGCGCCGTTCCCCCGCCCCGTCGCCTTCGCGCATGGTGCGCCCCTGGCACGCCACCGTGGTGATGACCCTGCCGTGCGAGAAATGCGGGGGGGTGCCGAAATGGGTGGGGGTGACGCATGCGGGCGGCGGCACTGAGGCCTTCGGTGGAGCTCCCTATGGAGCCACGAAACGTGTGAGGGGTGTGCCGAAATGGGTGTGGGGGACGCATGCGGCCGCGGGCACTGGGGCCTTCGGTGGAGCTCCCTATGGAGCCACGAAACGTGTGAGGGGTGTGCCGAAATGGGTGTGGGGGACGCATGCGGCCGCGGGCACTGGGGCCTTCGGTGGAGCTCCCTATGGAGCCACGAAACGTGTGAGGGGTGTGCCGAAATGGGTGTGGGGGACGCATGCGGCCGCGGGCACTGGGGCCTTCGGTGGAGCTCCCTATGGAGCCACGAAACGTGTGAGGGGTGTGCCGAAATGGGTGTGGGGGACGCATGCGGCCGCGGGCACTGGGGCCTTCGGTGGAGCTCCCTATGGAGCCACGAAACGTGTGAGGGGTGTGCCGAAATGGGTGTGGGGGACGCATGCGGCCGCGGGCACTGGGGCCTTCGGTGGAGCTCCCTATGGAGCCACGAAACGTGTGAGGGGTGTGCCGAAATGGGTGTGGGGGACGCATGCGGCCGCGGGCACTGGGGCCTTCGGTGGAGCTCCCTATGGAGCCACGAAACGTGTGAGGGGTGTGCCGAAATGGGTGTGGGGGACGCATGCGGCCGCGGGCACTGGGGCCTTCGGTGGAGCTCCCTATGGAGCCACGAAACGTGTGAGGGGTGTGCCGAAATGGGTGTGGGGGACGCATGCGGCCGCGGGCACTGGGGCCTTCGGTGGAGCTCCCTATGGAGCCACGAAACGTGTGAGGGGTGTGCCGAAATGGGTGTGGGGGACGCATGCGGCCGCGGGCACTGGGGCCTTCGGTGGAGCTCCCTATGGAGCCACGAAACGTGTGAGGGGTGTGCCGAAATGGGTGTGGGGGACGCATGCGGCCGCGGGCACTGGGGCCTTCGGTGGAGCTCCCTATGGAGCCACGAAACGTGTGAGGGGTGTGCCGAAATGGGTGTGGGGGACGCATGCGGCCGCGGGCACTGGGGCCTTCGGTGGAGCTCCCTATGGAGCCACGAAACGTGTGAGGGGTGTGCCGAAATGGGTGTGGGGGACGCATGCGGCCGCGGGCACTGGGGCCTTCGGTGGAGCTCCCTATGGAGCCACGAAACGTGTGAGGGGTGTGCCGAAATGGGTGTGGGGGACGCATGCGGCCGCGGGCACTGGGGCCTTCGGTGGAGCTCCCTATGGAGCCACGAAGCGTGTGAGGGGTGTGCCGAAATGGGTGTGGGGGACGCATGCGGCCGCGGGCACTGGGGCCTTCGGTGGAGCTCCCTATGGAGCCACGAAGCGTGTGATGGGTGTGCCGAAATGGGTGTTGGTGATGATGATGATGGGAGGGGGGAGGAGGCAGCGGGAGGAAGGAAAGAAGGAAGGAAGGAAGGAAGGAAGGAAGGAGAACGCGGGGCACCGTCTCTTCAAAACGAGGACCCAACACCACAGGATGGTTGGGAAAAAAAAGAAGGCGAGAGGCAGGGGTGTTGGAGGAGGAGGAGGAGTCCATTTCCTTCGCGCGAAGCTTTTTGGTTGTTTGAAAGAGCCAGAAGGGTTATTGGCTTCCCGTTAGACTTTATGGCTTTGCAATGATTGTTGCAGGTTCGCTCAATGTTGGGCCACGAAACTTGTGACATTACCAACAACATCAAACAACACATAAAACAACAAAGCAATCCACAAATATGAGACTACCAAGAAAACCAACAACGAACGGTTTCGGGATCCGAGGTGGGGTGGGGGAGGGAGGGCCAGACTCCTGCCGGACTCCCCCGCCTCGGATCCCGAAAACTGTTGATTGTTGGTTCTCTTGGTAGTCTCGGTTTTTCTGGTGGTGTCACACACTTCGTGGCCCAACGTCAATGCAACCAGTGACTCGCATTGAAAGACCAGTCCCTCCTCGGCCCGCCCTCCCCCCATCTCCCGCCTCGGATCCTGAAATCGTTTGACTTTGTGGTTTTTTGGTAGTCTCACATGGTTATGGTAGTGTCACAGGTTTCGTGGACCGGCAGTAAGGACACCTGTGACTATCCTTGAAAAACTTAACAGCCTCGCGCGAAGGAAATGGCCCCCTCTTCGTCCACCCCTGTCTCTCGCTCTCTATCTCTCTCGCTTTCTCTCCCTCTCTCTCTCTCTCTCTCTTTCTCTGTATCTTCCTTTCTATAGCAATACGAAACATAGGAATCGTCAGGAATCAATATGAATCAATAGGAATCAGTTGGAATCAATAGGAGTCAACAGGAATCGACACGAATCGATAGGAATCACAAGAAATCCTTAGGAATCAATAGGAATGGCTAGGAATCACGAGGAATCATTCTGAATACATAGGAATCAATAGGAATCAAAAGGAATTCACAGGAAGTTATTGGAACTGATCGGAATCAATCGGAATAAACAGGAATCAATCTGAAGCAATAGAAATCAATAGGAACCAGTACGAATTAATAAGAGTTAGCAGGGACCAGTAGGAATCAGTAGGAACAAATGAGAATCAATAGTAACCAACTGGAAACACTAGGAATCAGCAGCCAGTGACTGTCATTGAAAAACCAGTCAAACCCAACATAACAATGATTTTCCTTGTGATTCCTTGTGGCTCCCCCAACAAGCCACAACCATCGTGGTCGAGAAGAAACCAACGAAGACGAATATAAGAAAACATAGGATAAGGGAGGTCAATGTGTGGAGGATATATCACAGATAGAGATGTACCCGCTCTCTCCATCTCTCTCTCTGTGCATGTATACACATTTACGTAGATGTATGTCATCCCACACGTTTGCGAAACTTGAAGGTTTAAGGTTCATGGCGCGACGCGCTAACTAAAGTCTTGTACGTACTCGTCCACATGTACGTACATATAGGCAGCAATAGCGAGAGAGAGAGAGAGAGAGAAAGCGAGAGAGACGGATAAACACATCTGCTGACCAGTAGGATGTAGGATGATGTCCTGGAGTGGTCCAGGGACAGGTTCTGATCAGCTGCTGGCCGTCACCTGTTGTCATGGTCATCGATGTCGCCATCGTCGCTTGATCATCGCTGTCATGACCCCGACCACGAGCTATCAACATATTTTCAGATGCGTCACCATCTCATCATTATCAACATCATGGGGTTTATTGTTGCGACTTAGTCGTGCCTCTCCTTGTGATTTGGCGCCTGCAGGTGCCATCATAAGCCCGTGCATTGTAGACCACACTCGCCGCCATCAGCATCTTCAGCGTAGGTTTCATCACCATCACCCTAACTAGTCTCACAGTCGCCGTTGTCATTTCCATCGTCATCCTCGTCGCCATCACAGCCGCCATCGTGCTTGGAAAATCGTCGGAATCGGGACATGGCCCACGGCAGCCACGTGCGTGTCCCCGCCGCGCCCGTGCGGGGGGGGGTGCGCCGCTGCGCCATGACGCGGCACGCCTTGGCGGGGCTCGCGCTGGTGGCGAGGTCTCGCGGAGTGTCTGCTGCCGCCGCCTCTGCTGCCGCTGCTGCCGCTGCTACGGAGAAGGAGGATGGGGGGGAGGGAGAAGGGAGGTAGGAGGAGGAGCGGGCGGAGGAGGAGGAGGGTGAGGGTACGAAGACCCTCGAGGGAACCGGATGGGGAGAGGAGGTCTTTGGAGGCTCCTGCAGGTGTCTTGGAGGCTCTGATGGACCACAGAGGGCTCTGGAGAACTCCAGACTGGTCCTCGATCCCAGATGAGAAGGAGGAGGACGAGGACGAGGAGGAGGAGGGGGATGAGGAACGGCAGGACGGGACACTGCAGGGTCTCTGATTGCAGGGTGCAGCCAGAGAGCATTGACCTCGCCAAGCTTTTCCCTTGGCAGATTCTGGAGTCGATGAATGCTGATTTTCAACGCTCGATCTCTCTATGTAACTATGTACCTGGGTAGGCGACCTGGGGCAGACAGAGATCGAAAAGGAAGCCACGGTCATCCAACGCACAACCAAGGTTTTCGTAGCATTGCTGCGTGCTGCAGGCTTCCAGGTTTCGGGCAAGTCCATGTTTCCCTCAAGTGCCCCAAGCAAGTCAATGACGGGGGTATCGACGGGCACACTTGTAGGAGGAACACCCAGGTCATCAAAAGTAGAATTGCCAAGGGCAAGGACAAGGCCGTTTAGATTTCTAGGTTAGTAAGACGATCCCTCAGGCCAGAGTCCCCGCCACGACTGCGCTGCTACAGATGCGAACCACAGTGGCAGTGGCTCACAGGCCACAAGAGGCCAGGGGTCTGCCACCTGCATCAGCCACTAGACTTTTCTGACAAAGGTTGCCCAGTGGTGCACGGCAGGGTAAAGTGTGGTCAGCTTGGCTTCACATGTTGCCCCACTTGTCAGACTGTATGCGAGTTGTCGACATCGCCTGGAAGAAAGCCGCGGGTTGAGGCCTTCGGCCCAGAGGACCCCTGGAGGCGCGATTCTGAAGACTCTTGGGATGGGCAGGGAGCACCTGTCAGATTTCGAAATTCGGACGGCCCTGGACCACGAGTGCTGGATGAGTGTGGCGTCACACGTCTATCGTAAGGGAGGCCAGGATGGGGTGGACCTCGCCGTGCTTCCCAGACACCTTTTGAAATTCCTCCAAAGGAATAGCAGGACAAGGCAGGAATCGCAGGGCTGGCCCCGATAGGAGCTTTTCGGCTGGCAGCCAGGCGGTGTGGATCCGAAAGGCGCGGAGGAATGCGACCGACTGGGCAAGGAAACTCGAGCCTCTCGAGCCTGCTGCTCCTGCTGCTGCTGGCTCCTCCCCTGCTGGCTCTCCCCCACATTCTCCCACGCGGCCCCCCACCAGGGTGATCCCGGAGGGGATCTAGAGGAGGAGCCGTAGGGAGATGAGGGATTCAATTGCAGATTAGGCGATGCGCTGCGCGCGGGTCTAGTCAGACACATAAGCACGATGATTTTCCACAGATGAGGACAATAGAAGAGAAAACCAGCAAGCCAATTGATGGGGAGGAGGAGCAACGCGAGACGGCTGAACAGGCCGACCTGAAATGCAGGGCATCAGTCATGGAATCCTGGGATACCGACCTCTGCCCGAGATGCAAAGAGGCACCTGTGACCCTCTTTCACCAGGTTTGGGGATGCAGGCACACCTGGGATCTAGAGTGCGAGGGCCTCCACTGGCAGCTGCTTGGCCAAGCGCGCGAGCATTGGGAAGCTGTACCGTGCTTTGGGCTCAGGGGGCTCCCGCCCCTGGCCCGGAGATTCCATCCGACCCAGCTGGAGGTCCAAGGCGTCGAAGGTTTGAGCTCTGGCGTATTCCAAGGCCGGTCCTGGCTGCCTGCCGACTCTTTCTTGCGAGGCTGTGCTTCCCGAGGCGCCTCATCTGCCGACACCCGCCTCAGGCGATGTGGGGGGGGAGCGGTCTTGGCGTTGCCCTACGGCCAGCGCGCGCAGTAAGGATGCGCGCCTTTTCTAGGGTACCCTTGCGTCCTTGCCTCTGCGGCCCGTCCTTTGCCGTTTTCACTGGCCGCCCGCCGCCCGAAAGGATCCCAATTTCGGCCTCCAAGGCTCCTGCGTCCCTACCATCGGCGGCACCGCAACAAACTAACTCTATGCGTGCGTCGCACCCCCCCAGGGCGACGCGCGCACCGAAGAATCTTATAGTATATGCCTCTTGGCGGACGCTTTCTGGCCGTACCGATCGGGAAACGACATCCTGCAAGATGGGTATACTATATGTTCGGGTCGGACGCGCGCCTCCAAGGAGGACATCTAGTATTAACATGTCTCTGTGCGTCCCATACCACCCGTCCTTCATACACGTTTTGATTGTACCCGCGGGGGCCAATGGGCCCCTCCCTACTTGCAGGCCACCTGCAAGCAGACGGTTCCCCTCTCGTAGCTCTGGGCTTTCTCGGGATAGTGCAGCTCACGGCAGGGACCTCACTATGGTCGGAGAGAAGGATCCGGTTCTCAGCGGAATCGACGTGGCGCCGTGCTACCAGCACAGTGATATTTGCACGTCTTGGGGCTTGGGTTTGGCAAGAGCGTTTGGGCCAATGCGCGCTGTCAAAGCCAAGAAGTTCATCACGTCTCTGCCAGTGAGGCTGTTTTTGGCCGACTGTCTGGCCCCGAGCATGAGATCTCTAATTCCGCCACCGACAAGCTGACCGAAGAGGCCGCGAGAGACGCCCAGCTCCCACGATGGGCCCTGGCGAAAGCGGCCCGCCAAGGGGATCGGGTCGTCAAAGAGCAAGGGCGGTGTTTTGCTGTCTCGGCCCGCGCTGCCAGTGCTTTGAGCGAGCTGTACGGAACTAGTAGCGTCGAGGACCGAAGACGAGAGACCAAGAGGAGGAATGTTGAAAGGTTTAGCCTCCTCAGCGACCTCAAGGCTGCTTCCCTGCTTCCAATCTCCAATCACACCGTTGTTGAAAAGCCAGGGAAGCCCTGGCGCTGTTCGGTTTATCTCACTTCCCCGTCCTCGGGGAAATCGAAAGACCGGCTTCAGCTGGACTGTCCTGGGCTCCCTTCAGGATCCACCCCAGCCACCTCAGGGTCCAGAGGTTCCAAGGAATATTCTGGTGCCGCGACTGAGGTGGAGCGGCTGGTTTTCTTGTCACAAGCTCTCTCGAGAGTGTCCCAGGATTGTCACGAAACACGGGAAGTGAGTAACGAACGCGTTGGAAGGAGGAAGGCCACCCAATGATTTCAAGGTTTGGCCTGAGCCTGAACCCTAGTTGGAGCTCCCACCAACGATTGCATTTTAATGTGTTTTTTGGGGCGGCCTATCGCTGGCCCTCGGGTGGGTGATGGGAGCCCTCCTGGACATTACCTAGGGCTCCGCAATGTGGACACCGCTCCCTAGCTGGGCAAGAGGCAGGAGGAAGAGGAGGAGGAGGAAGAGGAGGAAGACGAGGAAGACGAGGAGGAGGAGGAGGAGGAGGAGGAGAAGGAGGGGGAGGAGGAGGAGGAGGAGGAGGAGGAGGAGGAGGAGGAGGAGGAGGGGGAAGAGGAGCAGGAGGAGGATGGGGAGGACGAGGAGGAGGAGGATGAGGGGTCAGATGAGGCGGGGCAGCAGGAGCAGAGCAGCGGGAGGAGCCAAGGTTTCACAGCGCAGCCGCGGACATAGACAACGTGTTCCCGGCGCCCGGGGGCGACGGAAACCGCACGAGCCACGTAGACATCTAGGCGAGGTTCCTATTCTTCTTCCCCTTGCTCCTGCGAGGGAAGGAGGGGCGAGGTCCTGGGCACCAGCCACGGACACTTTCGCGTCCAGGCGATTCAGGGCCGGCTCCCAGCACCGCAGGTAAGGAGCCTCACAGGATCTTACAGGTACATGCGCGGTTCGGGGAATTCTGCTGTGAGGGAGCAGGGGGATACGTCTCGACGATCATGAGCTCCAGGAGGCACCCGCCCCTCCCTCCCTGCCTCCTTCCCTCCCTCCCTCCCTCCCTCTCCTCCTCTTCCAACTCCTCCTCGTCGTCCTCCTCCTCCTCCTCCTCCTCCTCCCTCCCTCCCTCCCTCCCTCCCTCCCTCCCTACCTCTCCTCCTCCTCCTCCTGCTAGGACCGCCGACGGAGCCGACTCCAAACGCGCTGCCTACAGCAGGCACGTCACATCAGAAACCGGCCTGTCGGCAGGTGCCCCACGGATTTTTGTTTTTCTCCGATTGGCGCGCTTGTGGTCGCCATCTCTTCTGCGATCTGAATTGCGAAGGTGTGTGCGCGGGCGAAAGTGTTCAAGAGTGCTGCATATATTTCATTCGTTTTTTGTGTGAGGTGCTACTATGGCCAGTCGCCTGGTATGGCGAAAGGGCTGGGTACGTCTCGGGTAATGTTGTGTTGCTTATGTGACTACATGTTATGTCTTGAAGGGGTCACAACTGAGCACATGCATCGTATTTCGTTTACAAGGGATTGTGACACAACGTGCCTGTTTGATCAACGCATGTGCACCGCATAGCCTTGCTTGACAGGTATGAGGGGGCGATGCCGGGACTGGCTCGCATGCTGTTACCTTATATCAAAGAGGAGCGATCGTGTAAACATACATCTAAACATGAAAAAGCGTGCCTCGGCTGGGGGGTAGTCGCATTCTTGTTGGGGGAAGGGAATTCACCTCGCTGGCATCCGCGCGTGATTAACCCCGATGTTCGCGCAGACATCCCGCCCGCCCACCCGCAACTTGTTGACAGCATCCCATTTTGCGTCATGGCGCGAGGGCCCTTCTCATGCAGACCCGTGCCTCGGGCGAAGAAGTGCCGAGGATGACAGTGAAGCTGGTGGCACTGAGGACGAGGGCGACGACAACGACGATAACGATGACGATAATCCGGACGTAGATGGTGACGGTTGACATGATGTAGACGGCGACGGTGATGGTGGTGGGGACGATGGTGACTGGCAGTGATGTCGCTGGCAATGATGGCAGTGATGGTGCTGAGGGCGACGGTAACGACGACTGTGCTGACGTTGATGACGAAGTTGTTGTTGATGATGATGATGACGACGGTAACGACGGTGGTGATGATTGCGATGAAGACGATGGTAATGATGATGTTGGTGATGCAGAGTTCGACTGTGCTGATGTGGATGATAAGGGAGTGCGCGACGCGGACAGAAACGCGGAATTCATTTCTACTTCATAACAGGTTGGTTTTCGTATGTGTTTGCGCGTCTCGGTTTGGAACCGCTCAGAACCACCCATGGATTTCCAATGAGCGCGCTCGGATGCGCACGTGCGGCCCGCGTGGTACTTTGTTGACAGCGTTGGCGGATGCGCGATGCTCGTGGAAAGTTCTTGCGCGCGCGCGTGAGGCCTGCATGTGCTCATTTGACAGAGTGGCCAAATATGTGTGTTTATTGTGAGTTCTGCGAGAGCGCACGCGCGCAGAAATCTGACAACTCTTTGTTGATAAAAGTCGCTGGGCCTGATAGCCGTCGAATAAACGTGTCTTGGAACTGTTCGAAATCCATTGGTTCTTGACTGGATTTGACATGCGCGCGTGGCGACGCGCGCATGTGGTCTTCATAGTATTAGTTGATCAGGGTTGTTACAGAATGCACTTCTGATATCAACGCATGTTCACCGCATTTCTTTCTGCAGCGGATGACGGGGGGATGCCGATACCATTCGGCCAGTGATGATATTACTTGACGTTTGGGATGAACGATCGTGCCGAGCAGATATGAAGAACATTGCCCCTGGGGTCAGCGCTAACTCCGTCCTCGGCGGTGGGGGCCAGAATCGAATTTTCGTCTAGGAACACGAATACAGTAGGTACAATATCTATGTGGTGTCAGCGATGCGTTGCATGGTATCCAGTGCAAGCCATGTGATAACATTTTTGGATTGGATGCTATTTGATAGGCTTACGTCACATCCGCCGACCCCTTGATCTAGTCGGGGACCTTTTATTGCTGTCCTGGGGCCTTCTTGGTTTTGTTTTGGGCGGGCTCGTTGGAACTGTGGAGGAGAGGGAGGAAGCGGCGCGGAAAGCGAATGCCAAGGCAGCGAACCGCAAGAGGAAAGGGGAGGCGGAAGCGAAGGCGCTGACGTGCGCGGTGTGCGGGGGAGCTTTCGTAGACACGAAACATCTGAAGAAGGGGAAAGTTGAGAATCATCGAAAATCGAAGCAAGCGCGCGTGGTGTGTGGGGGCTGTAGCAAGCGTGGCAGCACCGCGAAGGGAGTGGCCGATGCGGCGAAACGGCTTGAGCGCGAATTGACGTCGCGGCGCGCAGTTGGCAAGCGTACGAGTGCTTCGGCACTTGCAAGAGGAAGCTCCTGAAATCTCAGCTCGTCGTTGGACCGCATTTCGAACGTGCGCGCCAGAGGGGCACCCTGAGGTGCAAGTCGTGCGCGTGAGACCCGCTGAATCGTTGGGCAACGCGCGAACGCTCGGGGCCGCAGGGGCGATCAGGAGGAGGAGGGGCATGTGGAGGTGGAGGAGGAGGGGGTGGAGGACGTGTGGGGGAGGAGGAAAAGGTGGAGCAGGAAAAATGAGGATCTGGCTAGCGGGCGTGAGCTTGGGCCTCCGGAAGCCGTTCGGGACTGTCCCGGCACCCCCAGAACGCATGGCTTCACCTTCGATATGGAGGCAGTGTGCGGGTACCCGGACCGCGCACGGGGTTGCAGGTTCGAGGCCACTCGGATGGCTTATGGGGTCTCGTGGGGGGGCTCTTGGGGGCGTGGTGGAGCTAGTTTTGTGGGCCTCCCAGGGGCCTCCTGAGGAGGTCTTGGGGGTCTTTGGGGGGATCTCTTGGGATTCCCCGGGGGCCCCTTGGGGCTTCTTGGGTGTTTCTTGGGGCAACTTTGAGGCGTTTTGGGGCCGACGGGTCGAAATTTCCAGTCGGGTTCTGCTTCTGGGCCGTTTCAGGGGGCCGTCCTGGGGCCCCTTTTCGGCCGGCTTGGTTTTTTGGGGGCTGTCTTTGGCCGTCTTGGGGCTATCTTGGGCCGTCCTGGAGCCCTCGTAGGAGGTTTCTTGGGTCGTCTAGGACGTGGCGAAAGACCCAGAGGCGAATCTGTTAAAAATACCATTTCCCCGAAAGAACTTGGACGATTTTGGCTTCTGACGGCCCTCAAGGGGAGTCTGAGGCTTCTTGGGGCATCTTGGAAGCATCTTGAGCCGTGTGGAGGCCATCTTGGGCGGCTTGGAACGATATTTCGGCGAGTAGGGCCCTCTTGGACCGTCCAGGGGGCTTCTTCGGAGGCCTCAAGGGTTGTTTGGGCGCTCCAAGGGAGCCCGGGGAGGGCCGGACCTCCCCCGGGTGAGTTCGGGGGTGGGTCGCGCCGGGCCCGTGGGGGGGGGGGGGGAGGGAATTGCCGGTTTGGGGCCCCGGGGGGAGGATTACGGGGCGGGAAATCTCACACGCCTGGAGACTTCACAAGGGGTCGGCGAATTTTGGCAATCTACGTGGTGCAAGCGCCAGCCGGCGCCCAGGCGGCCACAGGCGCCCCACTTGGACGAAAACCTGGAAGCCACGAGGCGGCCACGGACGGTCACTGGGCGAAGATCCAGAAACGCCAGAGTATTTTTTTTTGTGCAAGCATTGTTTCGCAAATGTTCGAAACAATTGCATCGTTGTGGCAGGGATCGACCAAAGTGTTGCCTATGGATCGTGCCTGCGTAGGTGCGCCACAACGCTGCCCCGAGGGCAATCTCTCGTGTTGGTTTCTCTTTGATGACGGAGACGGGGCGCAGACGGAACGCGTTTTTTGGTCGACCCCTCCCCTGTGACTTGGGCCGCCCCGAGGTGGTGTGGTCGACCAACCCGCTGGCCCGACACGTGGCGTGCGCGGTCCCCGCTGGCGTGCCCACGGTGTGCACCCTCGCGCCGTACGAGGAGTCCAACCTCACGCTGAATGTCTATCCCCAGGGGCTTTCGCCACGGCGCTGGGGCTCCCCTGCATCGAACGCCAAGAGGACCAGGGGTCCTGAGGGAAGCGGGTCCCAGCTCCCCGGGGCTGTCCCCAGAGCTCGTATCATGAGCAGAATTTTGTTGACAGCCCAGAGGCCCGTGGAGGGCCACAGGCGCCCCAAAACATTGAGAAAAACTTGCAGGTCCCCTCTCCTCCAGGACTCGTTTGCTCCATGCTGAGCCAATCGGATCAATCTCAAGTCTCAACGCCGGGGACGCCCCCAGGCTGGAGGATCCCCTCCGAAGACGCTGGTGACGCTGGGATGGGGCCGTCCCCCCACCGTCGTGGACGTGCCTGGCGTCGAGAGGACAAGTATCGAATCTCGACGCTGGTGTCCAGCGACGGGGTGGCCCAAATCACGTCGTTCTTGTGGCCACCAGGGGTTAATCCCGGGCACCAGGACCATCAGAGTACGATCCCGGATGGGGCCGAGAACTCTGGAGGTTAAACAAAAATCAATCCAAGAAGCGGTTCGAACTGGAAAGCCTCCAAGGGTCTTATTCGTTGTTTTGCCGATCGGCGCGGGCCCTCGCACCCCCCCCCTTGCCCCCCACCCCTGGAGTAGATCTGGGCTGTTTTTGACGCCTGTTTCGAGCAGGTAGAGTCTTCCCCATAGGACGCACTGTTGCAAACAGTCGCATTAAGCAGAGGTCCGGAGCCAGACCCCCCCTCCGCCCCCTTCCACCCAATGTCGAAACGCCGAATAAGAAAACTATCAGTACTTCCTCGCGTGGTATTCAGCCCCATGTACACGTGGCTGCTAGAATTGCATTTCACACCCCCGAGGAGTGGGAACACGGGGAGGGACAGCACGCCATTTTGCGCCGTGCGCCTCCCCAGGCAAGTGGGGGGCGGTGGACATTACGGCCCTCCCAGCCGTTGGCGCACTGTACGAGACCTCCCAGAACTACAAGTCGTATGGCTCAGATCCCAAGTACGTGTACGGGGCCGCCATTGAAGAACGCGAGCTGCCCTATTTGGTGGGAGACACTCTCTCCCGTGTAGTTTACGTGCCTCCAGCGGATATTTTCCCCCCCGAGGGCCGCTGGGCGACCGTCACCTACCAGACCGAGGAGCCAGCCAGCGGGGTCATGTCCGAGACTGGCTTCTTAGCCCTGGGAGGCCCTTCGGGTTACATCGCAGGTTCTACTTTCATTGCTGGCGCCGACGACTGGACCATCTCAGGCAACATTCACGCCGATCCCAGCGTGACGACAAGCTACGCGAGCGCCTCGTACTCGGGGGCCATTGCGCCTACCTGGCAGTCACTCGGCTGGGGCCTGCTGAATCGTTACATCTACGGCACGGACGAGGTGCACTACGTAGACTTCGACACAGGCAGTGACAGATCCAAGTGGTATTTCGAGGCCCCTGCGGCGAAGTTCTACATGCCCGACATGGCCTCGGCGTACGGAGGCACGATTCGCTTTACCATTGCGAGCACCTACGGAGATTTCGCCTATCTCAACGCGGATTTAGATTTCATCGTCCTGGAGTGCTCCTCCTGCAACAGCGGCCGTGGCCTGCGTCTCGTCCGCTTCGCCGACAATGGCCTCGAGTGGGACGGCAGCGAGATGGCAGCCAGGGGAGACCAAACGCACCCCAGAACAGACCCTGGGAAAGGGCCCTCGGGGCCCACCTCGGGATGCGCAGGGGCGTGGTATTGGCGAATGCCGCGGCTGGAATCGTGGCACCCACGACGCCTCACTGGGAATAACTGCTTTGGCCCCTCCCAAGGTGGTCGAGGTGACGCTTGCCGAGGGAAACTTCTGGAAGCGCGACCCGATGAACAGGGCGAAGGACTTCACGGACGCCACCGCCTGCGAGATATCGGCCGTGCTGGCTGGGCTCACGCGCCTCCGGATACTGGGGGACCACACCCGTGCCGGGCTCAGCGGCAGCGGCCAGACCTCGGACATGGGTGGCTTTTTGCACGACAAGGGCTTGACAGTCCTGGGGCCAGACAAGAGGCCTCGTGAGGCCCAAGATGATAGCATACGGTAGGTTCGCGTCGTGTCTTCCAGCGGCAACCCCGCCGCCGGCGTTCAATGTTCAACGACGGCGGCAACCCAGGTTCGGTCGATTTCGAACGACATGACGTCTCGGAAACGGCCGATCTTTCAAGGTTGAAAGATTCCCGCGGTGTCAGGAACCAACGCCAGGGTCGACACGACACGGTCCTGCCGTACTCGGCTGAAGTTTTTTCCCCAATCCTCTTGTGTTGGGTTCTCGTTTTGACTAGAGGACGGTGGTCTCCACCTCCTCTTCCGCCTCCCCCTTCCTCCTGCCTCCTACTGCGCTGCTCCCTGGGTGGCTGCGACGTGCCCAACTGTCACCATTTTCGTGGACTCTTGGGAGGTCCAGCGGAGACGGGGGCCACGCGCACCCAGGCGAGACCTCGCTGCTCCCTGGATGGGAAGTGCGCAACCGTCTCCAGTTTGCGGGCTCCTGAGGCTCCTGGGAGGTCCAGCAGAGTCGGGGGTTACGCGGCTCCAGAGGAGACCTTAGGGTCTGGGGTGTTTTGGCCAGCGGAGGGTCTCATGTTCTTGAAGGACGTTCTTCTATGTTCTTCTGTCCTATAAGCCTCGCCAAACATACATTGAAACGCCGTCCAAAACCGAAGCGCCCGATAGTTCGGCACTTGTCAGAAATCGCGTTCTGCAATGCTGCGAGGTCACTGCCGGATTTTGGACACCCCCGCGCGTGGGCCAAACGCCTCATGCCAGCATTGAAGTAGCGCCGACCGCCCAAGCGCCAAAAACAACAACCGTCAGTTTATGTTCGACGAGTCTTGTAGGTCCGACTGGCACCGCGAGCGCCGCGCGCCTCTCCTCCGGCCCGGCTCAGCGGAGGTGCCGGGGAGGGCGTGGCCCTCGACGACGTGTCCATCGCTGGTGCCGCCGACCAGCCGATGTTTCCCATCGGCTGCCAGCAGGCGGCATCTTTATTCTGGACCTTCCCCTCTCCTCCCATCTCCTCCTCCTCCTCCTCCTCCTCCTCCTCCTGCTCCTCCTCCTCTCCTCCTCCTCCTCCTTCTCCTCCTTCTCCTCCTCCTCCTCCTTCTCCTCCTTCTCCTCCTCCTCCTCCCTTCCTCCTCCTCCCCCTCCTACAACCAACCAACCAACCAACTAACCAGCCAACCAACCAACCCCTCCTCCCCCTCCTCTCTCTACTCCATCCTCCTCCCTCAATCCATCCTTCCTCCTTCCTGCTCCCTCCGCTCCCCGCCGCCCTCCTCCTTCCGCCCTCCTCCGTCAGCTCTTCCCCTCGCCTCCCATCTCCCCCTTTCCAGGGTCCACTTCGGTCCGATCGACCCGACTTGATGTTGATTCTGGCCCGCCCGATCCATATTCGATTTCTGTGTATCCCGACGGTCCAGTGCGGCCCGCTGCTCGCATGGGCGCTGTTGCACATCCTGCATCCGATCCGATCCGATTCCGACTCCGTGCCGATGCAACTCGATCCGACACTCATTCCGATTCGAGCCAGATCCTGCCTTCCCCACCGCCGCCCCCCACCGCCGCCCCCGCAACCACCAGGGGTGCACCTGCCACCACTACTCCGCGGACCGGCGGCTCTCCTGCTGCGGGGGCGACCCGGCGAGCCGCTCAGCCCGTGCGGCAGCGCGCTCGCAAGCCGCGCGGGGAGGGGGAGGTGCGGATGGTGATGATGATGATGATGATGATGATGATGATGATGATGATGATGATGATGATGAGGATGATGAGGATGATGACGATGAGGATGAGGATGAGGATGATGATGATGATGAATACTGATAATGATGATTAGGATGATGATGATGATGATGATGATGATGATGATGATGATCATGATGATGATCATGATGATGATGATGATGATGATGATGGTGATGATGGCGATTATGATGATGAGGAGGAGGATGAACATGTTTACGATGATGATGAGGATGATGATGATGATGATGATGATGATGATGAGGAGGATGAACATGTTTACGATGATGATGATGATGATGATGATGATGATGATGATGATGATGACGATGAGGATGAGGATGTGGATGCGGATGAGGATGAGGATGAGGATGAGAAGGATAAGGATGAGGATGATGATGAGGATGCTGATGATGCTGATGATGATGATGCTGATGCTGATGATGGTGATTATGGTGGTGGTGGAGGTGGTGGTGGTGGTAACGGTAATGGTGATGGGGATGGTAGTGGTGATGGTGGTGGTTGTGTTGGTGATGGTGGTGGTGGTGATAATGATGACGAAGGAGAAAATGAGGGGAAGGATGATGAGGACGAGGGTCGGGATGAGGACGAGGATGAACATAATTACGATGATGATGATGCTGATGATGATGATGCTGATTATCAGTGATGGTGGTTATGTTGATAATTATGATGATGATGATGCTGATGATGATGATGATGATGATGATGATGATGATGATGATGATGGTGGTGTTGATGGTGACGACGATGATGATGATGTTGCTGATGATGGTTTTGGTGTTGATGGCAATGCTGATGATGATGATGATGATGTTGATGCTGATGAGGATGATGATGATGATGCTGATGATGCTTAGGATGTTGATGATACTGATGAATGTAATGCTGGTAATGGCGATGATGATGCTGATGATGATGATGTTGTTGTTGGTGGTGGTGGCGATGATGATGACGACGATGAGGCTGAGGAAGAGGATGAGGATGAGGAGGATGATGACGACCAAGAGGAATGAGGAGGTTGAAGATGAGCATGAAGAAGGGGAGGAACAGAGGAACACCAGGGGCAGGAACAGCATGGGCAGGAGCAGCCAGAGGAGGAGGAGGAGGAATAGGGAATAGGAGGAGGAATGAGGAGGAGGAGGAGGACAATGATCATGAGGAGGATCAGGAGGAGGATCAGGAGGAGCAGAAGGAGGAGGAGGAAGACCAGTGTAAACCCAAGACTCATTAACGATGTTGGAATAAACCTTCCCTCCAAGCTCCCTCTTCACAGGCTCCCCCACATGAGTTTATTTCCGCTGAGAGAAAAGTCTGGTTGGGAGACAACTGTTTGAAGACCCTGAAGCGTGCCGAAACACCATTCTCGGGACTCAAACGCCACGAATCAACACTACTGTTACGTCTTGGCGATCCAGAATCGTGCCAGAACACCACTCCTGGGACCTGAGCACCGCGAATCAATGTAACTGTTGCGCCCTGACTATCCTGGATCGCTCCAAAACATGAATTCTGGTACGTCGACCATGGGATCCCGTGTTACAGCTTTCTATGACGAATGTGCAAGGCGTTCAGGCAAGAGACACATTTTGGAAAGGAGCCGCCCTCAATGAGCAAAGCTCTAGCAAGTGTTGAAGACGAATGTTCGCGGCGCGAATGCGAGAGTCACATTTCGAAAACCACCCGCCCTCAAGCCGTGAAGCTCCTGCAATTTTTTAGCCGAACTTGCGCGGCGCGAAGGCGAGAGCCACATTTTGAAAACCGCCCGCCCTCAAGCCGTGAAGCTCCTGCAAGGTTTTAAGACGAACCTGCGCGGCGCTACAGTTCGAAAGCCGCCCGCCCTCCAGGCGTGAAGTGGTTGCCAATGTTTAAGTTTTAGGATCATACATTGTCAGGGAGTCTTAGGCGAAACGTACCGGCCCAGGGGTGCAACAAGGAGAGGTACTAATAAGGTACAGAAATGGGGAGTAAGAAGAGCAGGGGGTGGGTGATTGGGTTGGCTTGCCTCCAGACAGGCAGGGCTGAGGATCCATTGGGCGGGGGAGGAGGGGGAGGAGGAGGGGGATCATGAGGAGGGGCAGGAGGAGGGGCAGGGGGGGCAGAATGGTCACGATGCGGAGGGGGCGGAATTTTTCACACCAACGGCCATGGACAAATATGAGAGTTGACTGGTCGACACTGGCGCCAGCCTCCTTCGGATGGAGTCTTTTGCCAGGTAGTCTCCAGGCGGAGTGGGCGGAGGAGGAACACAAGGGAGGTAGGGAGGGGGGGCGACGAGGAGCATGGAGGCTCAGGAGGAGAGGGGGGGAGGAACATCCTGACCCCAGATCCGCGGTATGTTGGACGATTTCGCAAGTAGGGCGGAAACATCCGTCCTATTTTGCAAGCTCCTTTGAAGTCCATGTCTGCCCTATTTTGCCGTCTTTACTTCCGCCACCTTGCGGAAATATCCGCACTACTCCTCCGAGGTGGACGTGTTCGCCCTGCGAATTCGCACCCATTGGGGCGCACCTCCGGCACATTCCAAGAGCCAGAGCGCCAGCACCAGAGCGCGGCGGGTCGAGGGTCGGTTGGGGCACGGGGGCCCAGGATGAGGAGGACGAGGAGGAGGAGGACGAGGAGGAGGAGGAGGAGGAGGAGGAGGAAGAGGAGGGGGAGGAGGAGGAGGAGGAGGAGAGGAGGAGAAGCACGGGGGGCGGGGAAGGGGGATGCTGAGGACATCTACCGCCCCTTGATACCCATCGACTACTGACCGCCCCCGCGGCGCCAGGGGGGGCGCCGCGCTCGCCGCGCGTTCGCGGGGAGGTGCGGCTCCCTGTCCGCCTCGCCTTGCGCCCCCAACCCCCTCCCCAGCCCGCGGCCTCCAACCGCTGCTCCTCGCTCCTCCCTTGTCGTCGCTCCTCCCTCCCCCTCCTCGCCGCTCCTCCCTCCTCTTCCTCCTCTTCCTCCTCCTCCTCCTCCTTCTTCTCCTCCTCCTCCTCCTCGCTCCCCCTCCTCGCTCCCCCTCGTCCTCCTCCTCCTCCTCCTCCTCCTCCTCCTCCTCCTCCTCCTCCCCTCCTCCCCCCTTCGCTCTCCCAGCTCCCTCCTCGCTCCTCCCTCCCTCCCTCCTCGTCCTCTCCTGCCTCCCCTCCTGCTTCTCGTCCCTCAGCCCTCCTTCCCCATTCTCCCTTCTCCTCTCTCTTTTTCATCCTCCCTGCTCGTCCTCCTCCGCCTCCTCCCCGAGCATGTGCGCGCCAGAGGCATTCACACAATCAAGCATAGATGCCCCAATCAGCATCATGGGGG